CCCCCCCACCCACCTGGCACCACTGATTAGTGATTATCACGGAACCACGCTCCAAAGTCACATCGATTGAACAAGCACAGGAGGAGAGAGCTCTCCGTCCCGGGCTTCTGCGTGCGTGGGCTGGCCGTGGAAAGCACCTACCGCAAAGCCACAAAATGCCTGGGGACAGGAAGAAACATTGGCACCTTAACAAGACGAGGGGTGAGATGAATGGCGCCCCCAGACAATCTGTTTCCACTGGGTGCAGAGAAAACTAATTTTTGAAGACGTTTCGTTTAGCTTTGCAATATTCTGCAGTTGAACGGTGGATGATGCTGGAACTTCTCCCTCTTATCCCTTAAGCCAGCGGTTCTCAGCCTGTGGGTCGAGACCCCTTTGGGGGTCGAACGACCCTTTCACAGGGGTCGCCTAAGACCATCGGAAAACACATATGTAATTACATATTGTTTTTGTGATGAATCACTACTTATTATGACTCTGGACACAATTTTAGAGCGAGAGTCACGATGGACACTTGATTGACCCCCTACTATGTGCCAAACACTTCACCAAATGCACTGCATCTGTCCCCATTGGATCCTCACAGTCCCACGAGGTAAGGATGGTCACCTCCCCCTTTTATGGCTGAGGGAACGGAGGCCAATGGAAGCTCAGCGACTTTCCCATCTCAGATGACTAACTAGGCGCCCCAGGACTTGAACCCGGCCGGCGCGCTGTCACTCTACACTCTTAATCAATACACCCCATTGCCTCCGCCGTCACCCTGGCGATCCCATCTCCCGGCTCACAGTGGGTCAGAGGAGTTGGAGGCGGGGAAGTTGCAGCGGCAGGTGCCCTGACAGCTGACGGACGGCTGGATTCGCAGTGAGACAGGGATGAAAAGCTCAAGGAGAAAGGCCTCCATGCACAGCTGTCCACACCCGTCACTTTCGGGGTCAGAGCACGCTACGATATCTCAAGCCCCCGGCAGCACCATGACCCGCAGCTCCGTGCAGCAATTCCCACCGGTGCCGACAGGAGAAGTCAGATGGCGTGCCAAGAAAGACA